GTTGTCATTCTAAAAAGGATGAATGCAGTTCAGAAACAGATTTGGAGTCATCTTGTGAAGAAACAGAAAGTAAAACATCTGATATCTCATCACCAATAGGCAGCCATAGAGAAGAAGGAGAAGGAAGAGAGGGGAGAGGTAGCAGGCGAACTGTTGCTAAAGGAAACCTGTGCTATATTTTGAATAAATACCATAAACCATTCCATTGTATCCATAAAACTTGCAATTCTTCATTCACTAATCTAAAAGGCTTAATTCGCCATTACAGAACTGTACATCAGTACAACAAAGAACAATTATGTTTAGAAAAAGACAAAGCAAGAACCAAAAGGGAACTTGTAAAATGTAAAAAGATATTTGCTTGCAAATATAAGGAATGTAACAAACGTTTCCTGTGTTCCAAAGCTCTTGCTAAGCACTGTAGTGACTCTCATAACCTAGACCATATTGAAGAGCCTAAAGTACTTTCTGAAACTGAATCTGTAGCAAGATTTTCCTGTAACCAGCCTCAATGCCCTGCTGTTTTTTATACATTCAGCAAATTGAAACACCACTTGATGGAACAACATAACATTGAAGGAGAAATACATTCAGATTATGAAATTCATTGTGATCTTAATGGCTGTGGCCAGATTTTCACCCATCGCAGTAATTACTCACAACATGTATATTACAGACATAAAGACTATTATGATGATCTATTCAGAAGCCAAAAAGTAGCAAATGAAAAGCTACTAAGAAGTGAAAAGGTATGTCAAACAGCTCACACACAGGGACACGAACATCAGACTACCAGGAGGTCATTTAATGCTAAATCTAAAAAATGTGGTTTAATCAAAGAAAAGAAAGCTCCAATTAGTTTTAAAACAAGAGCTGAAGCCCTCCATATGTGTGTAGAACAGTCTGAGCACACACAGTACCCCTGCATGGTTCAGGGATGTTTATCTGTGGTAAAATTGGAGAGCAGCATAGTGAGGCATTACAAACGTACTCATCAGATGAGCAGTGCCTATTTAGAGCAACAGATGGAAAACCTTGTTGTTTGTGTTAAGTACGGTACCAAAATAAAGGAGGAGCCTCCTTCTGAAGCAGAGCTCTGTATAAAGAAAGAAGAAAATATAAGCTGTGAATCAGAGCACATGAAGCACAGCCATTCCCTGGGTGACAGTAAGGCACCCCTCCAGAACACTGATTCTTCTCATCCAGGTGAAAGGGATAGTGGTCAGAAAGGGTGTGCAGAAAGCAACCCAGCATTTGATACAGATGCTCTGCTCTACAGAGGAACTTTGAAATGTAACCATAGTTCAGAAACCACTTCTCTGGAACAATGTAATATAGTTCAGTCTCCTCCTTGTAAAATAGAAAATTCCATATCTAATCCCAGTGGGACTGAAAGTGGGACTTATTTCCCAAGTTTCCAGCTGCCTTTA